CCAATCTCTCTACATTGGGGCATTGCTCTTCCATTCCGTTCCTGGTGCCTAGCAAGGAGATTTGTCCTGTGGACATCACAACTGCTTCTTACTTATTAACCCATAAAAAGAAGACAAAGAGATCTAACTTCCCACTTAATCACCCTATCAATTTCTTTAAAAAAAAAAAGATTTTATTTATTTATTTGAGAGGGAGACAGTGAGAGAGGGCATGAGAGGGGAGAAGATCAGAGGGAGAAGCAGACTTCCCGTGGAGCTGGGAGCCCAATGCGGGACTCGATCCCCAGGCTCTGGTGCCCTGACTATCCATTTCTTATGGTTATTTACCATATGGTTACCATATGGTTATTTACTTCTATCTTTAAACTCCCCTACTTATGTCCAAACCAATCTTCCCAGCATATGTTTTAGAACTATGGTTTCCTGGGGCACCTGGGTGGCTCAGTGGGTAAAGCCTCTGCCTTCAGCTCAGGTCACAGTTCCAGAATCCTGGGATGGAGCCCTGCATCAGGCTCTCTGCTCAGCGGGGAGCCTACATCCCCCCTTCTCTCTCTGCCTGCCTCTCTGCCTACTTGTGATCTCTGTCAAATAAATAAATAAAATATTAAAAAAAAAAAGAACTATGGTTTCCTATGGTTTTACTTCTCCATTGGTCGATTTTACATGTGTTCCATATTTTGTGATGCTTCAGTATTTCCGATTCAGTAACGATACTCTTGATTGTCTTTCTAGGCATTTATAAATTTATCTTGTTTCTTAAACATCTTTTGTCACTTCAGAGGACTTTTAGACGAGTAGTAGAATACTTACAAGCACTGAGTCTACCATTTTTATTCAAATCTCCCTCTAATTCCTTAATAGAATTAAACTTAGCCATCTTGACTTTATGCTTCTCATACTTCAAAGAACTGTTTATGACACATTGTCCTTTCCAAAAACAAAGAAAAAATGAACATTTTATTATTATCCAGAGCTTGACCTTGGTAGGAGAAATGGCTGTTTCCCAAAAGGAAATAGTGACATAAAATGAAATATTAGGTGAGAACAGAAGTGTAGGTGAAAACAAAGTGTTGGTGTGGGCAAAAATTAATAATTGATGTTTGATAATGATTTTTTCTCTCTACAAATTCATGATTCTATTTCATACTGAATAAGCAGGTAGTTAAATCAAATAAGAAGCATGCTTCCAAATTTGGCAGTATTTTTCACAATGGGCCATGGATATGTTCTCTTCACTTCCTTATAAACACCTAGCCCTGTAGCATGATTATTGAAAAGAACACTGGTTTTAGAACTCTAATTCCCAATTTGTCCACTCAGATTTTCTGACTTTCCACTGATTTGTCTACAAACCTTGGACAGAAATATTTATAACACTTGGAAAATTATAAAGTATCCTACAAGCTTAAAGGTGAAAAAAGATTGTCATATTGCAGTCGAAACAAAGACATTTTTGTGGCTTCATTTTTAGATTTTGCTCAACCCTCCTATACCCCCCCTCCGCCCCCCCAAACAATTCTGTCCTTATGGCCCAAATTTCACTGTCACATCTAGCCATTTGTGTCAGGAAGAAAAAGAAAGATAGTGAGTAGGCCAAGTGACAAGTTATATCTACAGATGGTTACAGGTATATCCTCTTGCAGTGCTCCTGTTTTTGCAGTATCTAGCCCAGTTTCATTTTCTGGTATAGCGAAAATGCTGTGGGAGGCTTACCTGAGATTAGAGGACATTGACCTTTGGAAGGTGTTGACTGCCCCTGAAGAAACCTCACTGGTGCTCAAAGGAATGAGGTGGGGTGAACATACACCCATGCAGACACAGGAAGCTTACAGGTGCAGAGTAAGAGCAGGACAATGCCGCAAAAGAAGGCAGTTCTTACCCAAAACAGACCTTGAAATCTAAGTAGTTCCCTCTCAGGGACACATAGACTGCTGAGCTTGTGTTTCACATCTAAGTTAGCACTCACACAACTCACAAAGAAATGGCTCTCCATGGCTAAACAAAACACACAAAACAAAACAAAACAAAACAAAACAAAAAACTAGCTTATCCCTTTGGCAGAGAAGTTTCTGCCAAATTCTATTCTAATTACTAAGAAATATGAAGATCATTCCCTACTACAAAGTCTTCTCTGATCCCACAGAATAGGTTAGAATCCCTGGATCTTGCCCTCAAAGCATTTGTCTCAATAAAAAACTGGCTGCCCATTTCCTTGTAGATAGAAAATCTGGATGTCTGGGTCAGAAAGTTTGGGCAAGATAGAGTATTTTCTCACCTTCCCTCAAGAGGCCATGATAGCATATCTTTATGAGGCTCGATGACGAAATGCCCTAAGTTGTTTCCTGAAGTAAAATGCCAAGTTCCTTAAGATGAGCGGACACTCCTCCATGGTCTGGCAAACTGTTGGCATTAACTTTCCATATCATGGGTCATGGTTTTTTTTATAACTGGGGTTTTGGAGGGAAGCTTGCACAAGTGGGGAAGGTGCCAGCCTGAAGTCACTCTGAAGTGACTGCTGAGAAGGTGACCGAAGTCAGAGGCTGACTAGAGTTCAGCTACTCACCTTGCTGGGTCTAATTTTCCTCACATGTCAAATGGGTGCTTGAATTCTACAGTTTCTATGTACCCCCTGCCCTGGTATCCTGTGCATCTTGTCGTTCTGCACTGAAATTAATTTTGTTTTTCGTGCACCTGAGTGGCTCAGTCAGTTAGGCATCTGCCTTCAGCTCAGGTCATGATCCCAAGGTCCTGGGATCAAACCTTGCATCAGGCTCTCTGCTCAGTGAGGAACCTGCTTCTCCCTCTCCCTCTGCCATTCCCTCATTCTCACTCTCTCTCAAATAAATAAATAAATAAAATCTTTAAGAAAAAAGAAATTAATTTTGTTTTAATACTATAGACATAATATATTGTTTTTCCTACCTAAAGCCAAGTGTTTTCCTAAACAAACTATTAACTTTATTTTGAGTAAGATTTCTCAAAAAATCTAAAACTATAATTCCATTCGGAGTCTAAAAATAGGACTTATAGACCTACTTCTCTATTTTCTCTTGATAGTATGAATGTATACGATGTCATTTCAATTAAGGAATAAAAAATTAGAAATAGAAGGACACAACATTTGGGGATATGGAGTAATCTATAAGTCAGTAAACAGTTTTAAAAAAAAAGAAATTGTTTGGAAAAGATTTTCCTTAAATTATACAATCTCCTTTTCTCTCAAAAATATGTCAGGGTATGTGCTATGATGAATGCTGTGAAATGTGTAAGCCTGATGATTCACAGACCTGTACCACTGGGGCAAATAATATATTATATGTTAATAAAAATAATTTTTTAAAAATGTCCATTTCCCTGTTAGAACATAAATAGGTATAATTATCATAAATTTGTAGCTTTGAATCTTAAGATTTCTATCAGGATACTTAGAATTTAAAGGACAAATGTATTTGGTATGAAATTTTCAACTTACAGATGTAACCAGTAAAGTTGCTCTTTTCATCCTCCAAATTTGCATGCAGTAGATAGTCCCCATCATGTGCTGGGGTTGTGGTTATAAACATTCTTTCTTATAGGCAATCACAACTCCCTCCCCGGAAATGATGCCACGCCACTGAAAACGTAATGATGTTGCAAACCAGACTATGGCTTGGGTGCAACCACCAGCCATCAAAGCCTGCAGATTCTATATATTTTTCCCTGGAATGGATCAGCTCAAGAGATGAGTAAGCCAAACCAGTAGCACAAGGTCTTCCACAAAGCCTTAGCCCTAGTCCTCCTTGTTCCCTCAGGAAATCAGCTCTATTCCATAATGGGAAGGAAAGCAAAGAACTCAGAAAGGATAGGAGAATAGGAAAGCTCCCTCTTGGTTGTTCAGTGGTTCCTCATTGATTCCAAGATAATGTGTGAGTTCTTCATCCAGACACTAAAAGGTCCCACTTTCTGTGCCCCACTGGATTTGCCACCTTAACACACCACAGGGAATAATAGTGGATGGGATTAGGAAGATAACAGGGAGCAGATCGCTCAGAACGTTGGCTTTGACCCTAAGTGAGGTGGGAGCCATTATAGATCAGGCAGGAGTGACAACAACTGTCATATGTTTTATTTTCACTCATTCTAAAAACACCCTACACTGCTAACACAGACCCACTCATCCTGAGTGCCCCCTCCAAGCATCCATGCCCAAAGCAATTTCATTCCACCTTCGGTGCCCCACTTCGAGACCCCTCCCACGTAAACTACCTTGATTGCTTCAGCAAGATGTGACTCTCCCTCTCATTCTAATCTTACCAATTGCCCAAAGTACTTGGCTTAGACCAAGGTTTTGTAATTTCTGCCTTGTACTATTAGGGAGTTAGATGACCAAAAGTTAGATATGTTTTGCTTTGAGCCTCAGCTGGCTTGTCAACCCCTCAAGCATGGCTTACCTTTTATAGAGCAAAAGTGGTGCTGTCACTGCAACTGTTGAGAGAAGCCAGGTGCCTCCACGAGCTCATCAACTCAGTTTCTAGGCCCTCGGCTATGTGACAGGCAGCCAGCTGCCAAGAGTTTTGCCAATAGGTTCAAGATCAAGTTCATCCACATTTCTGAAAACGTGAGTGGGGATATTCATGTTCAAAAAATTTAAGACCAGATTATCATCTCACCACTTTTCTCTCTAAGACTCCTTTGATATAAACATCTATTGTTACTTTTCAGATGGTATCCCGCAAAGATTCCTTGTGTCCACCACTCATTTGGGGACTTACCTCGTGTTGCACTATCATCTTTGCTACCTTTCTGTGCCACGTTTTTCTTACTTCCTTCCACTAAAATGTAAATTGTTAGGGATGGAGGCCTCACAGTGTTCTCTGTGGACCCACCTGTCCCCTTACCGATAGGCCCTTGCTCCAAAACTATGTGCAGTGGACTATGTTCATGGCTCTTCCAGCCTTCAGTTGCTAAGAAAATACAAAGAGCAGGAGACCAAAGGTAAACTGCTACCTCTGTTGTAACAGGATTTTGTGCCGCTTTATCAAAACTTTGAGAATTTTTACACGCGGAACCTGTACATGAGAATCAGAGACAACTGGAACCGGCCCATCTGCAGTGCCCCGGGGTCTCGGTTCGATGTGATGGAGAGGGTGTCGGATGACTACAACTGGACATTTAGGTGAGGCAGCCTTCTGGAGGGTCTTGGTTGAAAGAAATTCTTCCCAGGAAATCCTAGCATGGGCATTAAATTACAGAGCTGATAAACACCAAACCATGGAAGTTACTGGTCTTCCATCATTGAGCCTTTTGCAAGCCCTGGTAATTCCAGTGGGGGAAGTCATGGTTATTTGGTTGCCAAGGGTGGCTGTGTTAGATTAAAATAAAGCCTGTGTCAGAAAGTGCGGTCTACACAGAGCTAGCCACGAAGAGCCTTTTCAGCCTTATTGACAATTTTACCACCCTACTTCTTGCTGAAGGAGGCAGTGATGACCAGGGCTCTTTCTCACCTACAAAGTTCTTGCTGGAATTTAAACAAGAGCACAGGTGTCACAGAAGTGAGCAGCCAAGGAAAACCAGGGCTAAATGATACTCCATGGTTTGTGATACCTTTTTCTAATACTCTGCCCAGCTTCATTTTGGCGTTACTATCCTCCAAGGGCAGACCATTTTGTATGGACCAATGCATACCAGAAAGGAAAAACAAAATATATGATTGGGGCCAGACCCAAGATCTCCTTGTATGAGTCTTCTGTGGGGCACTAGGACGATGTTAAATGAGAAAGCCCTTTATGGTCTTCTCTCTGCAGGTTCACTGGAAGAATCATCAAAGATGTCATCAACATGGGCTCATACAACTTCCTTGGCCTGGCTGCCAGTTATGATGAATCTATGAGGACAGTAAAGGACGTTTTAGAGGAGTATGGCTTAGGTGTGGCCAGCACCAGACATGAAATGGGTATGTATGTTCACCATTTTGAAATTTTGTCCAGTTGGGCCTCAGATTCCCTGTGGCAATTTCTCAAACCTAGATCGCATCTAGACGGTGTACTTCAAAAAGCTGTTATAAATTGCAAAATGAGAAAGGTACCTGAAGGTCTTTTTGGAAATTTCAAACATTATGCTCTTGTCAGACAGTTTATTAATTACGGGTTTAAATTCTCCAGAAAAAATGAAAATGTATCTTTCATTAGACCACATTATCTAAAATAACAACTCTTGTGCCTCTTCCATTTGATCCATTTCAGGATCCTTTCTTCCCCTTTTCTTTTTTTAAAGCAGCTTTAGTGAAGTATAATCGATATTATTAAAAACTATACTTACTTAATGTATACAATTTGATGGGTTTTGATATATAAAAACACTCTGAAACCACCACTGCAATCGAGGTAATAAACACGTCCGCCACCTTGGAAAATTTCTTTGTGTCCCCACTTTTTGTGGTAAGAACACTTCACATGAGATCTACCATTTCAACAAATTTTTAAAGTGCAAAGTGCAGTATTAATTATAGACACAATGCTGTACATCTCTCTAGAACATACTCATCTTGCGTGACTGAAATTGTATATCCATTGAACAACTTTTCGTTTAGATTTTGCTCTTTCTTAATGATATCCATCCCTGATCTTGCTTTTGTATTTGGATATTGCCCATTGCTGCTACTAAAATGTAAGTTTCATGAAGGGAAGGATAGAATTGGCCTTGTGGTCTGTTGTGTTGAATGAGTGAGTGAATGATGAATGAATGAGTGCAGGTGGAACAAATGGCCTGTTTGTTTCTCTTTTAGCTGAAACATCTTCCTCTTATTCAAAGGAGTGAAATCTGTGAGAAGGAATCTTCTGGTCCTCTCCACCTCAGGGAGAAAGAGTGAGGCAAGCTTCCTCCTACAGAGTGTCTTGCTATTCCTGACACAGTGTTTTCTTATATATCATCTCATTTATTACTTGCAAAAGTCCTCTGCTCAAGGAGGCAGCACAGGCGACATTATTTCATCTTCTAGAGGAGGAAACAGGATCATAGTGACTAAGTGATGTCCCACCACTGGCTTATTAATCATACTAACTCTCAGTCTAGCTAGCTTCTTCTGACAGCAGTTTCCCATCCAGAATGATATATGCATGGTTTACCATGTCAGTTTCAGGCCATTCTAAGAACCCAAGGTAAACCTACTAAAAAGGGATTTACCATTAAAGACAAATGAGCCACCTGCCCCTCTTAGAATCCAGTTTACAGAAGATCATTAAAAACCCATGCAACAAAGAACAATTCAAGTTGAACAAAGTAATTTTTTAATCCATACATTTAGTAAACATTTAGCTAAAGCTCCAGAGTTTATAAGCGGTTGCCCAGATTTTTTAAGAAAGACATCTTTTCTTCATTTTGAGGTAGGAGGGCTACAGATATAAGCAGAATGTGGAAGGAAGCTTCTACTTCACATAGCAGAACTAGGTGACCCATGATAACCCATTTGGGATGGGGCAGAGTCTGGAAGGTTACCCTCGGTCATAAAAGACGTGGAGTCAGTAAGTAAGCTTTGTGGATATTTCCTCTGGTGCTGCTCACACTCAACACCAGGATTGTTAATGAACCAGACAGAAAACACTTTTCCTGAGGATGATGACCCCCTGCAACTCATTGAGACAGAACACTCCCCACTCACAGCCAGCAGAAGCTAAACCTGACATAGTCGATGGCCTCATTCCTGTGGAAGCCAGATATGGAATAGGAGTTCCTGAATCGGTAGACTCAATGAACCAGAGAAGCCAGGCAGAGATAAAGATAATAGTTTGGACTGTCTGTAGCCTAAGTTCTTTCTCCACTTCTTCTTCAGCCTTCTGAATGGCTAGACTTTGATTGTTTATCTCTTCACTTGGTCTCTGGCTCAAGCTCTAGGAAGAAGATTTTAACAGTTCTCAAGGAAATGGTGAGAAAGCAAAAATAGAAGCCACCCACACTAATTTTAAGCAAACAGAAGCCTTGATAACAAAGATGGATATGAGCAGTCAGAAAATAAAGAAGTAAACGGGGTTCATTTGAAAGTTTGTGCAACAGAAGCTATAACGTTAGCATAGCACACAAGAATTAGTAACATAGTTTTGAATGCCACTTATTTCAAGAAAGGCAGATAACTTTTAGAAAGCATAAGCTATCTAGTCTTAAGAAAATGTTTAACAGTGCCTGTGGATTGTCAATGAAAATGTGGGAATATAGAGACTTACCAATTTAGCAACCAAAAATGCTTCTTGAGGAGCCCAAAGTAAACGTTTAGGAACATTTAATCACTTGAGTACCTTCCCAGAACTTTTAAAAATAGTTTCCAATGTTCTAGAGGGAAAAGCCCACAAAAAAAAAAAAAATCATATTACAAAATAGGAAATTAAAAAAGAAATCAAGAGGAAGTATTTAAAGCACAGTAAAAGGATAGGAGACCACACACAGTATCTTGGCCAAAAGTATGTGAGAAGAGTATATTTTCCCATTGAAAGAAAAGGACTGAGATTTTGCCAAAAGCCCAAACTCAACTATGTGCTATAATCACAAACAAATACAAGTAAATTTAAATTATTCCTAAGGGTGAAAAGTAGAAAGGGAAGTCCCAACCAGACACCTGGTTCTCTCCTCCCTGCTGTAACCACCACTAAAATACACTCAGTACCCAAGAGGGAGGTCAGTTCTATAAAAAGCACAGCAAAGAGCCCAAGAGCAAAGCTGTGTGTCCACTTTGCATCTACAAGTGCTAGGACTGAGCCTGAAATACAGCTGAGCTGTAAGGAATGAAACATTTCCATACACAGACGTACAAATTGCAAATGCTGTGTTTAACATGTGGAATGATGCACTGCTGTTTATTTTCATGTACAACTAACTTACACTGGCATGCAGAATCAAGGGAGGCTTTTACTGTCTTGTGGTCAATTTAACTTTCCATAGGCTGATGGAAGTGTTGGCATGTTTTTCTGATATCCTAAATATGAGGCAGAGTAAAATGGCAATTAGGAGTCATTATTTGAAATGCCTGACACATTTTTATTTCTTACCGTCTATATTCATGGGGGCCTTTTTATTAGTATTCTTCTCAATCTGGGAGGTCTCCTTCAAATTGTGTGTCCTATGTCATATCTTTGGTAATTACAGCCTAGTTTTTCCTAAGAATTTTCCTTTTTTTTTTAATTTATTTATTTTTTCCTAAGAACTTTCTTTCTTTTTTTATTTTATTTAATTTTATCTATTTGACAGAGAGAGGGATCATAAGTAGAGAGGCAGGCCGGGAGAGGGGCGGGGGAAGCAGGCTCCCCACTGAGCAGAGAGCCCGATGCAGGACTCGATCCCAGGACCCTGAGACCATGACCTGAGCCGAAGGCAGAGGCTTAACCCACTGAGCCACCCAGGCACCCCTCCTAAGAACTTTCTTAACGTACTGTGAAAGATTAGAAATTCCTGAGAATTGTCGTGTGTGATATTACGTTGTGTTCTAGACCGAACATCTTACCAAAAGTTGAAGAGACTTCTGCTCAACATCTTCTTCTTCAGGTGGCTTGCCTCCAGACTTTGAGCTGGAAAGTCACTTGAATAACTGTTTACAGATTCTAAAATTACCTGGATTTTTAGATTTTCAGCACCAGGATTGAGAATTGTTCATGACGTCTGAGTATTAACATCAAACAATATGCAGTAATAGCTCCATTATGCAAGATATTTCCACATTTGTTCTTTGAGTTTCTTCATCGGAAAGAACTATTTAATTTTTCAGTACATGGAAGGCGTTTGTTTGTCTGTATATGCTGGTTTCACAATGAAAAATGTAATGCAGCAGCCCCTGAGGCGAAGTAAATGTATAATTGCTCATTCTTTCATATAAGCCAAAGAGTAAAGAACAAGCTGAAACTTAAAAAAAATAAAATAAAATAAACAACCTAAATGTGTGGTATGAATGCAAACACAAAGGAAAGCAGAAGATTAGCTTAAGGTTATTAGTTGTTATTAAACATAAGAAGAGACTCACCGGGGTCCCTTTCTGCCTGCCTCTTTGCCTACTTGTGATCACTGTCTGTCAAATAAATAAATAAAATCTTAAAAAAAAAAAAAGAGACTCACCTTATAAAAATTATGTGGAGCACCAATAATGTAGACAGATTCAACTCCTATATTTTCTATGCCTCAATTAACACAGTGCAGACAAGATGGCTGTCTATCTTTCTGTACACCCGGAAATTAGGAAAATGAATGATGAGAGGCTTTGAAAGTCATGTCAGTCAATTTAACATTCCACAAGCTGATTAGAAACAAAAACAAGACAAATAAAATAGTGATAGGAGACCACAAAGTACCTCTCAGTCCTTGAAAAGTAAAAAAGGAAAGAAGGGAGAGAGAGAGGGAGGGAGAAGGGAGAGGGAGGGATGGAGGGACAGATATGGGGAGGAAGGAAAGAAGGAAGGAAAAAGGAAAGGAAGAAAGAAAGGAAAGAATGAGGGAAGAAAGGAGAGAGGGAAGGAGAGAAGGAAAGAAGGAGGGGAAGAAGGAAGGAAGAAAGGGAGGGAGGGAAATAAGGAATGTGAGAGGGCAGGAAGGAAAGAGGGAGGGAGGGAAGGAGAGAAAGAAGGAAGGAGGGAAGGAAGGAGGAAGGAAGTGAAGGAGGACAGGAAGACATAGAACATAAAGGACACTAACAGTAATTACTGACTTTCATTTAATATTTATATATTGAATTACAAGCCTTTAAACATGTTGCCAGTATACTTCATCTTTTTAAATACTTAGTAAATTTTCACAAAAATTTACTATATTTTATGCCACCAAGAAAAGCTCATTAGATTCCAAAAAGTGGAATCTACATAGGTCACATTCTTGGATCATGATGAAATAAAGCTAAAAATAAATAATAAAATAGAAACAAATCCTTTTTAAAAAAAATCTCTGGAAGGTTTTAAAGCCCTTTCCTAAGAGACTCTATAATCA